TCATATAAACCAATTTTAAAATCGGTTTTTCTCAAAAACCAATAATATCAAAGCAACTTTTTTTCTATAATCATTTTATTACTCTAATCAATTTTTTTAAATAAGTGTGCATGGTTAAGCACTGTATATTCTGGTTTGACGATTGTCAACAAATAGTTCTAAATGGTTTTAATAAATATATGGTTTCAAATCAATTTTTAATTTAAAATGAATTTTAAATTCTACTCTTGTATTACTCACACTGTAATATTCACGAAACATATAGACTCTGTATGTTACTCAACTCCGTTACATTTCACATGAATCTAATAAAAATGTAATATTCATAGAACATATAAACTGTGTATGTTATTCAACTTCGTTACATTACACATCTAATAAAAAATGTATAAAAGTGATGCTCGATATTTAAATAATTTAATATTTTCTTTTGTTTTTTTTTCTCTTCTAAATCTAATATTTTCTCAAAACATAATTAATATTATTCTATTTTTTAAAATGTTAATTAACATTTTAAACTCTTTTTCTTTGATATTTATCACATTTAAAAAAAGGTTGCACGTTAATTTTATCTTTAATTATTTATTTTTTAATTGTATTATTTTCTTACAACCATCAATTATACTATTTAAATAATAGATAAATTATCCTTTTTGCCCCCTTAATTTTATTTTTAAGTTTAAATTGGTCTCTTAATTTTTTTTTTTGTCAGATTGGTCCCTTAACTATTTAAACCGTGTCATATTGGTCATTTTTATCTAATTAACGACGAATTTAGCAACGAATATTTGAATTTTTTTTGTCGCTAATTAGACGAAAAAAACTAATATAACACGTTTTAAAGAGTTCTGACACAAAAAATAATTAAAGAACCAAATTGAACTTAATGGTATAGTTAAGAGACAAAATGATATTTAGCCTAAATAATGTTATATTTATTAATTTTAAGTTATTATTTTTAATTTTACATTTATGATATTAAAGAAATACCAAAAAAATCTTTAGTGCAATTTAGGCTGCAATATAAAATTTACTATGTTGTTAAGTTAATTTAATTTAAAATTTATATAATATTGATAATATAAGTTTTAATTTTTAATTTTATTTATTATATTATAGTATAAATAACTTTAATAAAATTTATACAATGTTACACTTAATTCATCATGCAGTTTATAACAAAGATAATCCAAATTGTACTGGGCATCAATAAGGTGTAAGATTTTAAAATTAAATCAGGGTTGATTACAACACAAAGATTAATTGTCAATGTTTTCTTGAATAATACTGACTAAACTCTAGTCACCCAATAAAAATACAATTAAATAAATTGAGATACAAATTGTGTTTACAAAATACTTCTAAAAAATTAGAATATACAAATGAATTACAAGTATATCACACAAAAGATATTTAATAAAGAGTATAAACAAAAGTTCGTTGTGTGAGTGTTTTTTTTCTCTCAAATATATTTCACAAAAGTGCACTATTCACGTATATGATAATTTCTTAGAGTGTAGCGTAGCACTTTTCAATTCTTCCAAGTCTTCTTTATATAGGAAATGAAGAGATCCGTTGGAGAGTAGAATTGAAATACCAAAATATAGTTATATTCTTGCATAACAGTTTGTGAAAATGGGAGACAGAATGGTACAATAATACATTCCTTAACCAACAAAATCACTATAGTGGAAGAAATATTTGATCTTGTATAGTGTACTATGTATATCACGTAAAACCTTTTGACCTTATCTTCAGTATTCATAGGCTTCTGATAGATAGTTCGTGAAGCATGCATAGGAGAAAAGTAAGAGTCTGGTTGAGAGAATCTTCGGAAACTTGGTCTTCAGAGTCTTGACCCAATTCATAAGAACCTGATCTTCATTTTTTAATGACACAGTTCATAGTTATTTTGAGTGCATGACTTTATAGCATGCCAACTTCAGAAGCTTTAGAGTAATAAAGCCTTAGATAATAAAAGATGTCAGAAGTGTTGAGTACATAATCCAGAACTTAATCAATTTGTAAACACACAACTCATAGTGCACTAACTTCAAAATATGATGACGTCACACGTTCTTTAATCAAAGTCAGAATTTGTATATAATATTTGCACACTAAACGAAATGATTAAGGTACATAATTGTTCTCTAAGAGTTTATGTATTGTTATCATCAAAATATAAGACTAGATACATAACCAAATATTATTCTTACAATGATGAGGACTAAATCTACTAGCCTTAACAACAATGACAATAACTTTTACATATCAAGTGACCACATCTTGAAAGATTGAATATCAGTTCTTTAGAAAAGGAAATCAGTGTTTCAACACAAGATGTTCATCATTGATGGAGAAAAGATTTTTCTTGTGAAAGTTTGCAAGGATCAAAGGTTTATTCTCACAGTGTCGCCACTGTCCCGTTATAGAACCACATATATGGATAAAACAGTGTAGAAGTGAATTGAATTTCCTATATGGTGGTACATATTCCCACCACGGCTATGCAGGGGTGGATTTGAAATGTTATCACTCCAAGCCCATGTCAGTGAGAGAATAAAAAATGTTGTGAGAATGAGATGGATTTGAATGATTGAAATGGTGTGTTTTCTCTCTTATATGTTGGGGGCGAAAAAACCATATGCGGGAGACGTGTTGTGCTATATTGGCAGCCATTCAATTGATCTAGAAAATGGTGATGCATCAGAGGCTGAAATCACATGTCTCTAGCAAGAGCGAAGGTATACTTTTTCAACGTGCTTGCTTAATTAGCGCTCGACTCTAGGCCTCTCACTTTGGACCTTGAAGGAGGGTAAAATACATTTTTCATCTTAAAAGTAGTATCTTATTAAGACCAATGATTTTCATTGTACTTTTGATGAGTGGATATCCAAACCTACCATGAGGATATGATACCTTTTTTTTTTCATCTTGAAAGTAATATCTTGATAAAATCAAAGATTCCCGTTATACTTTTGATGAGCGAATGTCCAAACCCACCACATATTTGGATATGATGAAATTTTATGGTGTAGAGAGATTTGATTATTTTTAGCAACAAATTTGCCTTTCTGTTCACTTTTAGGTGTTGACAGGTTTTGGTCTTCGTCTTAATGATGATATCCTCAAACTTCGTGTTTTAAATTTCTTTTTAGTTGTGGTTTTTATCACCGTTGTTTCATGTTGATTGATGGTTTAACCTCATTTTTATCTATTTTTGTTTGCATTTGTAAAGTATTTGTGGTGCTTTGTTAATCTCTTTCAACATTATGGGATCTCTTTATTTATAGATATAACTTATTATTAAAAAAAAAGATAGATCAATAATTCAAACATAATGAAATTTCAAAATAAAATTTAAAACATGTTTCATATTAATAGCTTCTTTTTAAGTAGTTTAATGAGTGAAGTTCAGTTTTTTTAAAGATGAACAAGTATGTTGTGAGTTTGAACTTGCACTCATATATTTAAAATATAACTTATTTATTATTTAATATACTAAAGGAAACTTAAAATTCTTAGTAAAACTTATTTGGTATTTTTTTTATAATAACCATATATTAAATAATAAATACCAAAATAACAAGTATTTCAAAAAAATTTCTAAAATGGCTAACAATCCATCAGACGTTCGCCATTTGAGTTGGCGAAAGAGAAGAAAATGAAAACTGGAAAAAGAAAATCGCCATGACAATTGGCGAATGAGACCAAGTTAGGGTTTCCATTTTCCATCCATGATTCATGCAAGCATTCGCCAATTGCCATGACGATTTCCTTTTTCCAGTTTTCATCTTCTTCTCTTTCGCCAAATCAAATGGCGAACGCCTGATGAATTGTTAGTCATTTTAGAATTTTTTTTGAGATACTTGTTATTTTAGTATTTATTATTTAATATATAGTTATTATAAAAAAATCACTTATTTGACATTAAATTTATAGAAATCAGCTCATCAAATTTTAGATATTTTTTAAATAATTTAAATCCAACTTTTTAATCAAATAAATATTGATTAAATCAGATATAAATCGATCCCACTATGGATTCTATAGATAAATAGTAACATAGTAACACTATATTTCATTGATGATATTCTTTATCAACTAAATTAAGTTAAGGACTTTTTCTATACAAAGCAACTAAAGGGTTTAGTAATGAGTGAAAGAATTAGTTAGGCATTACGTGGAATTGAAAAACCAAAACTGTGAAAATATTGGAATTTTACAAATCATCTGAAAAATACGAACGATCACTTCAATTCTGCATCTCTAAATAGTTCGACCAGGTTAAACCCTAAACCCTAAATTTTAATTTTATACTTCAAATTTTTGTTTCTTCTGTTCATTTCTGTTTCAATCTTTCACTATCTCATCGTCTACACCAACAAGGTAACGTTTTTCTCTCCCTGTACCACAACATTTTTTTATTCATTTTACTAATTTTAGCTTAGTTTCTTATTTAATCACATAAATGGTTCCCTAGAGGCTATGGCATTTTTAAAAAAATTAAGGTCCGAAAAAATAAATTTTTTCTATAAAATATTTGAATAGATAATTAAATTGTTAGATTCCGAACAAAATATTACTATAAAAATTTAAAAAAAATAAAAAATAATGTTAAAATACAATTAAAATGTTAAAAATACATAAATTTTCTATATTGAGATTTGAGAGTATCAATTTGTTAAAAACTAAATAGTGGAAAAAAAATGAAGTATATAAGTAAAATCAGTGTGAGTATCCAGTATTATTCTGGTGTGTATATGGTACTGGTATTTTAGAAATATTCATGCTTTAGAGGTTTGAATATTTCCAAATAAAATTGATTTTAGAATGTTTAGTTTTTACAAATGTGAATCTGTACCAAAAAGTTCAAAAAATAGTGCATAGCAATATAGTATCTCCTCCTAGATCCATCGGGTGTTTAGTGACATTACAATTGATAATCAATGTACTTATAGAATTTGTTTTGTCTTCTTTTCAGCTAATATCAAATTTTGATGGGTGGAAGTTCTGTTCTTTCTGTTGATGATTGGGAGTTCTCTTCTTCACATGATGATGTTAAGACATTGGTTTTGCTTGGGCGTACCGGCAATGGCAAAAGTGCAACGGGTAACAGTATTCTTGGAAAAAAGTTTTTCAAGTCGAGGGCAAGCTCCTCCGGTGTCACCATCTCGTGTGAAATGGATACAACTGTGATGAGTGATGGACAGATAGTTAATGTTATCGACAGTCCTGGTACATACATGATAACTTATGCTTTGTATAAAGTATGGTTTGTTTGAGTTGTGGAGTGATAGTTGTGATTACTAATATTTCATTTTAAGTATTTTTTTTTCGTCTAGTTCTTTGGAAACTTGGTTATATATCTTAAACGCCAAAAGTTTTGCAGGATTGTTTGATGTTTCTGCCAAATCTGAGTTTTTTGGGAAAGAAATAGTCAAGTGCATTAGTTTAGCTAAAGACGGGATTCATGCCATCATTCTAGTGTTGTCTGTTAAAACCCGCTTTAGTGTGGAAGAAGAAAATGCTGTGCGCAGCTTGCAGACATTGTTTGGAAGCAAAATTGTTGACTACATGATTGTGGTCTTTACCAATGGAGATGCTTTGGAAAATGATGAGCTGACACTCGACGGTTATTTAGGCTTCGAATGTCCAGAGTCTTTAAAGGTTTGTAATTAGTATTATAACTCTTGTGATGAATTGTTTCTATGGATTTCTTTTATAGAAAGCATTGTTTGGTGAAGCTGTTACCATGTTATTGTGTATTTGACATTAACATTAATGCAGGAACTTATTTTACTGTGTGATAATCGATGTGTGCTTTTCGATAACATTACAAAGGATAAAAAGAAACAAATTAAACAAGTTCATGAACTTCTCTCTTTGGTAAACATGGTAGTATCAAAGAATGGCGGTCGACCTTATACAGATGAGTTATTTACAGAATTCAAGGTAAATGTTTTGTGAATTTCTCGGTCTCAGTTTTCTTAACTCTTGTAAAAATATTCTGATTTCAGTGAACTCATTATATGGCTGCAGGAAGGAGATATAGAACTGCATAAACAACAAAGAGAGGCTACCTTGAAAGGGTTTTCAAAAGAAGATATATTAGAGTTTCGAAAGCAAATTACTGATATGGTACTTACTTATGGTGTCGGTATTTAACAAATCTTCATCGTTTCATCTTTCTTTTTTTGACGATCTTCTTAACTAACATTGTTTGCATTAGTAGATGTAACATGGCCTGAAAGAGTCTGAGAGGCATCTCGTATATCTTATAAGTCAGTTTGATATGGTTTTTTAGGTAGAATCGAAGTTGAAGGAAACAACTATAAGGCTGGAGCAACAATTGGCACAAGAACAAGAGGCAAGACTAAATGCTGAAAAGAAATCAAATGATGAAATTGAAAAACTTAGAAAAGATCTTGAACAGGCACATGCAGAACTAAGCAAGCGAGGAGCAAAACCTAGTTGTGTCATTCTATGACAGTATTATTTTGTCATGATTTTATGAATTATGAGATTAGACTTTTTTTTTTTTTTTTTTTTTTAAATTTGGGTTTAATGCCTTTAGTAATATTAAGGCGTAATGATTTAATTTAATTTAATGTTTCACTGTTTTGTTAGTGTAATTGGTTAGTTCTGATAAAAAATTTGTTGTTGTGCTTAGAATGACAAAAGTCAAAAGAGTAAGTCAACCTTATAATTAGTCAAGAACAAAAAAAACATATTTTTAAGGACAAAAAAAACATATTTAATCAAAATGTAATTAAAGTGGCATAGTTGTAAAAACTGGACTGGACCGGCCTGTCGGACCGGTTGAACCGGGAATCGGGCTAGTAACTAGTCTGGTTCAATAATTGGATCGCCTTTGTCATCAAACCGATCAAAACCGGTACAAATTGGGTTGGACCAGAAAAAACTGGAAAGCCGGCGGTTTCTGTAAACCGGAGGTTCTAATGTTTTTTTTTATTTTTTAATTAAATTTTAAATGCAAACAAAATCATTGTGAGTTATAAAAATTAAAAAATAAAAATTTTTTTGTTATCATTGTTTTGAAATAATTTTACCTCCTTGAAATAATTTTACCTCCTTGAAACTAAACTAATAGACATTGGAGTTATTTTATTATAAATTATTTAATTATATTATGTTGCAATTAGACTTTATTTGCAATTCGACTTTGTAATTTTGTACTATTTTATTGTATTTGATACTTATGTTTAAAATTTGAATTTAAATTATAAACTTGAGAATTTATGATATGATATTTTTAAAAAAATTAAGTGTTAATTATATTTTTTTAAAGATTGAATTATCCGGTTCAACCGGTTTTATACCTATAAGATTTTTTTATGATGACGGGTCTATTCAACTGAGTTATTCGGTTTAATTCGGTTTAGTCATACGGTTTGACCAGTGACCTAGTGGTTCAACCAATAAACCAATGACTCAATACTCTCACTGGTTCGATGACCGGTCCAGTTTTTAGAACATTGACTTTTAGTTTCAAAATGCTAGCAAAATGTGAACTTGGTAAACTTCATCCAACCAAATATTTATGTAACACAACATATGAGAATTAAATTTCATTTTAAACTCAACTTCAACCAATATTCATCCGAGGACGAGTTTTGCAGGACATTTAGACCACATTTACGCCGTTAACTATGCTTCACTAGCCATCATTTACTAGTGAAATAGATTACAACTAAACAACTAAATAATTACAGAGGATTCAAAGAAAACAAGAACAAGTGCTACAATAAATGAAAGTTATACCAAATCAACTACAAAACTAAATTTACTGTTGTAATTCATCCGGTTTCTAATTGTAAATTCATCTGGTTTCTACGTTGTTGCCAAACTTGTGTGATCTGTAAGCAAAGTTATGGTTCCAAAACACATTGTTGCAAGTGTGGTACATATTTTCATTTCATGTATGCATCAAGAATGGGATGATAATGCCAAGCATCCCAGCAAATGGCTCCTCCTGTTGCGAGTCCTGGTTCATAAGTGAGGTGGAGTTTTAAGTTTTCATGGAGTGACAACAATATAATTTCCTAACCTTTACCAGGAAAGGGACTTTACTGAATGTTTATTAGCACCACACACCAGAAAATAAAAAATTAAAATCATGTATATTATAGCAATTAAGGACACTTACATATCCACTGCCACCAATAACAATAATACGAACATTCTCTCTAATTGTCATCCCACTCTTTGGCATCTCCTACTATGCTCAATAGTATGTAACAATAGAAACAAATCTTTGCAGGAAAAAAGGAAAAAAGAAACTATGAACATGCCCAAAATTTAAATGAGAAAATAAGAGGAAGTTATGATTTCAACACAAATTAATGATTCTCCTTAAGCATAATTTCAGAAATTAGAGAAAAGAAATATTCACAATGACAATAAAAAAAAACGAAGCTCAAGATGACATTGTTGGTGCATAAGGTAAAAAGGATGAAGATGGTGGAAGAGAGAGAAGAAAATAACAAATTTTTACTGTTATGCTAAAACGGTTACAGAAAAATGGTCGCATACACACTGCACTATAATACTCAGTGGATACACAAATAAAAGTGTCACGTAGGCTAAATACTAAAATATTGAATTACACTTCAACATTATCTCTTAATTCAGGATTTAACTAATCATAACTAAGAACACAAATTCCATCCCTCAATTGGAGAAATTGATCAGTCTTGATCGCCTTAGTCAGAACATCTGTCGGCTGCTTTTGGGTGCTACAATGTATAACTTCTAGCACTACATTCTGGACTTGACTTCTTAAAAAATTATATTTTGTCTTAATATGCTTGCTTCTCCCATGTAGCACTAGGTTATTCGCAAGATTGATTGCAGACTTGCTATCAATCATCTGCTTCAGAGGCTTGTTTACCTTAATCTCCAGATCCTGCAGTAAATTCAGAAGTCAAACAGATTGACATGCAGGCAAAACAACTGCAATGTGTTCAGTTTCGCAGGTTGACAAAACAACAACAGGTTGCTTCTTGGAACACCAAGAAATAGGACCTCCCAGATACTTAAACAAATATTAAGAAGTATTTCTTCTATCAACTCTATCTCCACACCAACCAGAGTCTGAATAACACATCAGCTCTGAATTAGCCTTTTCTTCAAAAGGGAACAAAACTCTATACATTAAATCTCCTTTATTATACCTCAGAATCCTGACAATAGCTTGGTAATGAGACCACTTCAGTTTACTCATGAACCTACTTACCATTCCAACTGAATAGAAAATATAAGGTCTGGTATTACACAAATACCTTAGTGATCCAACCAACAGCTTGAAAATTGTAGCATCAACATCATCACTTTCAGTATCATAATCTAATTTGTGATTTGTTTATGACGGTGTGATAGTAGCCTTACAGTTTCAGCAGTTTGAATCTCTTTCGAAGCTCAAGTTCATACTTTATCTAATGCAAAATGATACCCTTCTCAGAGTACATTAACTCCATCCCTAGAAAATATTTCATTTTTCCTAGATCAGTCATCTCAAACTGATTCATCAACACCTTCTTGAACTTAACTATCTCATATTCACAACTCCCTGTTAGCAATATGTCATCAACATACAGACACACATGAATCATATTTTCTTCATAAGTGTGATGAACATAAACGCCATACTTCATCTCACACTTTTTGAAATCCTTGACACTTGAAAAGTTAATCAATTTTCAAATTCCAAACTCTAGGAGCTTGTTTCAGTCCATACAACGCCTTACGTAACTTGTACATCATCCCTTCCTGATTCCTTTTCTCAAACCCAGGAGGTTGTGACACGTATACCTCATCTTGCAATGGACCGCTCAGAAATACAGATTTCACTTCTAAATGCATCAAAGGCCAATTTTTGTTATCAACTATCGCAATCACCAGTTTGATTGTCTCATGTCTCGCTATAAGCACAAACACTTCAAAGTAATCTAACCCAGGTTTCTGTAGACCCAGGTCGAGGGTGGATGTCCCGACCAAACTTCTTCAGGTGTCTTCATTTCAAAGGCAGTCAAGGGACATCTATTTATCAGGTAAGTTGTTGTCGAAACAGCTTCCACCCAAAACACCTTCTTCAATCCAGCACTAACCAACATGCATCTAACCTTTTCAAGGATCGTTCAATTTAATATCTCAGCTAAGCCATTTTGTTGAGGAGTACCTGCTACAGTCTTATGCCTTGCAATCCCAGACTCAACACAGTAACTGTCGAACGCTTCGTTGCAGAATTCAAGGTCATTGTCGGTTCTCAACCTCTTAACCTTTCTGCTAGTTTGAGTTTCGACCATAATCTTCCAAATTTTGAAATTCTCAAAAGTTTCATCCTTCGTCTTCTGAATGAATACTCATAGATTTCTAGAATAGTCATCAATGATGGATAGAAAATACCTTGCACCTGAGTGTGAAGGATTCCTTGCAGGCCCCCAAAGATCAGCATGAATGTAATCCAGCGATCCATGTGTTTTTTCCTTGCCTTTGTTAAACTTTTCCCTACAGGATTTACCAAATACACAAGATTCACAAAACTCCAATTTTTTGACTTTGTCACCTCCTAGCAGGTTCTGCTTCCCCAATTCGACCAGGCCTCTTTCACTAACATGGCCCAATCTCATGTGCCATAATTTTGTCTTCGACATAGGTTTCATGGATGCAACATTTGTCGAACCACTTACAATCTCAGCCTCAAGGGTATACAAGCCTTGTTTCTTCACGCCTCTCAAGACTTCCTTCGACCCCTTCATGACTCTTAGGATATTTTTCTCTCTTTGAAAAGCATATCCTTTTCTGTCGAATTCACCAAGAGAAATCAAATTTCTCTTCAAGTCAGGTACATACCTGACTTCAGTCAATAACCTTATTGACTCATCATGGAGTTTGAATCTCACAGATCCAATACCTGCAATTTTGCAAGATTTGTTGTTTCCCAGCAGCACAATTCCACCATCTTGATCATATAGCTCCTCGAACAATTCTCTGTTTGGAGTCATATGCCAAGTGCAACCTAAATCCATAATCCACTCTTTTCTCGAGTCGCCACTTGAAATCACAAGAACATCAGATGAGTTGAAGTCATCTTGAACAATGGTTGTGTTGTCATTACCTCCACGATCTTTCAGGCAGGGCACACCTTTCTTGTGTGACCCTCATTCTTACAGTGATAACATCGAATACCAGATGTCTCGCCACTATAAGAATTCTGTTGACTTTTACCTTTCTTCTTGTCGAACTTACCATCCTTTCGCAAGAATGTTCCCTTAAGGCTAAACCTTCGCCCATCGTTGAAGGTTTATACTCCTTTCGTTTGTTCAAGTCCTTAGAATACAAGGATGATTTAACTTCTTCAAAGGTCAAGGACTCCCTTCCATACAAGAGAGTTTCTTTGAAGTGAGCATGTGTTATAGGCAAAGCACACAACAACAACAGTGCTTGATCTTCATCATCGATCTTCAC